CCCAGCACCTTACCCGCCTGTGGCAGAGGCCAAGTGCCTGTCCAGGGCCCCCAGTTTCTCCCCACAAGGGTCATTGGCTCAAGTGGCCAGAGAGCCGAGCAGCTTAGGCTGCAGGGGGACGCTGGGACTCAGGGTCCCACTGAAGGAGCCCACAGACAAGAAGGCCTGGGTGATGGAACCCCTGGGGCCAAGAGGGGTCAGGAGGTCAGAAGACGCTGGGCGTGGGCCTAAGGGGAACCAGGCAGAAACATCATCAAGAACGCCCCAGCGAGCTGGTGAGCACGTGACCAGGGATAAGCCCTCCAAGCTGGGGTTCTTGGAGTCTGCCCCCTCTGAGTCTGTTTCCTTCCCATCAGTGGGCGCCATGACTCCTCTAGCGTCTAGGCAGGCTTGGTGAGCTTGGCGAAGGGCCAGCGCCCTGAGATCCTGCCCATCCAGGCCGTGCTGTGCAGAGACCATCAGGGCCCAGAACCTTCTGCCCAGCAGCCAACACCCCTGCACTCGCCCCACCTGCCTGCCCGGCCTAGACCTGCTTCCAGGGCCTCCACGGAGGCCTGGCCCCACGGCCCTGGGCTCAGGGAAAACTGGGCTTGGGCAAGGCTCTGCTGGCTGTGACTTGCGGCAGGGCCCCCGACCCACTCTGTCCCTCGGCTCCCTTGCCGGGACAACAGAAAGGGTCCCTGTGTCCCAGGGTGTATGCAGAGCCCTGGGACGCTGACCAAGGCCATTTCCCTAACTTCAGCCCAGGCTGCCAGGTCCCTGGTGCCCAGGCCAGGTCTGTCATGTGGGGGAACCAAAAAGATCTGGGGACTCTGGAGGAAGCTGGCGGCGGTCAGAAAGCAGGCTGCACACGTAGGTGCACTACATGAGGCAGAAGGCTGCGCTCCCCTCACAGGCCAGGAGGGGGCGACAGCCACACACATACTGCCAGAGTGCCTGGCCCTTGCCACCTCTGGACTCATGTCCTGTCTGTACCCAGGGCTCCCTGAACTGCCTGCTCAGTAAGGGGGCCGATTCCTGGAGCAGAGGCAGGAGGGAAGCCAGGAGAGGCCGGGGAAGGCTGTGCAATGCAGCCCTTTCCTGGCCCACCTCACTGGGCTGCCAGGGAGAGCATGGCCACGGGATCCTGCAAAGGAAGCCACCGCTGGACACTGTGTGCAAGGAGTGATTACACACAGTCAGGACTGGTGCCTCTGTGCCATTCCCCAAGCACAGCTCACCCGGAAGGCCTCCCCATGGTGGGGCAGCCCACAGACCAGAGTCCGTGACACCGCCTGCTTCCTCAGCCCACCGACAGGTTAGCACAACCCTCTAGGCCAGCGGTTCTCAACCTGTGGGGCGCGACCCCTTTGGGGGTTGAATGACCCTTTCACAGGGGTCGCCTAAGACCATCGGAAAACAAAAAGATATTTACATTACGATTCATAACAGTAGCAAAATTACAGTTATAGAGTAGCAAGGAAAATAATTTTATGGTTGGGGGGTCACCACAGCATGAGGAGCTGTATTAAGGGGTCGCGGCATTAGGAAGGTTGAGAACCGCTGCTCTAGGCAGACGCTAGCTTGTCACATCCGCGTTTTACAGGTGAGGAGGGTGAGGCTGGGTGACTTGCCACAGCCAAACAGCTAGGAAACAATGCGATGAGCCTCGAACCCGAGTCTGTGGGACTCCAGGGTTGATGCCCAAAGTGGGGAGACCAGCCTATACCCAAGAGCTGAAAACCTATGTCCCCACAAATACCTCTCCAGGAGTGCACAGCAGCACGAGTCACAGCAGGCAAAACATGGAAACAACCCAAATGCACAGCAATGGTGAACGGATAAACAAACTGCCTCCACACAGTGGAACACGATTCGATGGGAACAGGGAATAAAGCACTGATCCACGCCACAATGCGGCTGGACCTCAAAAACACTGCTGCTGCGAAAGAAGCCACGTACGTGAAATGTCCAGAATTGGCAAGCCTGCAGGGGCAGAACGTCCACTAGTGGCTGCCAGAGCTGGGAGGAGGGAGAATGCGGAGGGTACAGGGTTTCTTTGGGGAGTGATGAAATGATCTCTTGTGATGATTGCACAAATCTGGGAATACGCTAAAAATCACTGAATTGTATGCGGAAAAATAAAGTCAGTTGATAAAACAAAGTGGGGAGACCAGCCTCCCTGGGGGGCCGTCAAAAACCTTGACCTCCTCTCAGAAGGCTGATGGGTACAAACCACCTCCCTCTGCTGACAGCTCCTTCCATGAGTCCAGGGTCCAGCCGGGGTCCCCCTGCAGCCCAAGGCAGAAGTCCTGCACCCTGCCCCACAGCCTCCTGGGCCAGCAACCCTTGTGGGGGAGAAGATGGGGGGGCCCTGGTAGACACTCAGCCTCTGACATAGGTAGGCAGGGGGTGGGGAAAGTGGGTAGGTGTGGGGGTGGGGATGTTGGGGACAGCCAGCCCAGCACAGAAGGCGTGTCCCCATCACAGAGTCACCTGTTTCCCTCTGACTCGTGGACTGTCTGCCCTTGCCATCCCCTGGGACCTGCAGGCAGCCTTACAGAGGACATGCCCAGGTGTGGAAGAGCCTACGCCCCCGGCAGCATCCAAGCAAAGAGGGTCCTGCCACACAACCCCTCACCTGCCCCGGGGGCCCACAAGCCAGGCACAGGCTCTGCAGGGCCCGGCAAGGGCTTGGTACCTATGACCATCCTGACCTCTGAGTCTCCACCTCAGCCCAGGCACCTCAGCAGCCTTCATGGGTGCCCCTCCCGCAAGACACCCCGACCCTCTCCACCCCCCCCCAGGGACCTGCCCTCAGCCTCAGAGGAACCACATGCTGGCCCCTGGCCCCACTGGCACGCACCCTGGCGATCCACCCCACGCCCATGGGCCCTGGGTTCCTCTGGCCCATCACAGCAGCCAGCCAGGTTGCACAGCACTTTAGAGTTTCAAACTGTAAAGTGCTTCAGGACACAGCACGCCATGACTGCTAGCCGTGAGGGTTCCCACCGGCGATCAGAATGAAGGAGGGGGGGCGGGGGAAATGCGGGAATGGAGGAGGAGCCCCCCCTGCGGGCGTCACCAGCATCTCAGGGCCCTTCCTCATGAAACAACTGGAGCCTCGTTTGGCCACAGGCTCCTGGATAAATATTTGGATTATCTGCTGTCAGCGGCCCTCGCTGCCTGCACAGCGTCAGCAGCTACATTCCTGGAGAAGGTGCGAGGGCCTCAGAAGAGCAGCAGACGCTCGGCCGGCCGGCAGCCAGAGCTGCACCACCCACGTCTGCCAGCGCCAAGGCCAGCCAGGCTCTGCAGAGGCGCCCTGACCGTCCTCGCTGGCCGGGGTGGAGGGGAGACAGCAGGACCAGGACCCTGGGGAGAGTCCAGGCCCACCTGCCCACCTTGCAGGGTGACCTCAGGCCAGCCCAGCCCAACTGTTCCATGGGGACAGTCAGGGTCCTTGGCTTGCTGTGGGGCTTGTGTGTGGAGAGCCCCCTGCTCTCAATGAACTGGCCGTTCTTGTTACAGCCATCTTAGAGCTCAGGGGTGAGTGCTTCGTGGACCCTGGGTTTTCGTGTATTCACAGACTCATGCCATCATCACAAGAGAACATTTTCATCACTCCAAAAAGAAGCCCCGCACCCATTAGCAATCCCTCCACACTGCCCACATCCAGCCCCTGGCATTCACTCATGTGTGCTCTGCCCCTAGAGATGTATGTATTCTACACAGGAAGTCACACAGGTATGATGGAGGCATTCACTCCCAGGGAGCAGTCCAGAGCTGGCCGTCCACTTCCCAGAGCTCGGGCACCATGCCCCCCTCCCTTTCCCGTCAGGGCCGGGCAGAGCCCAGGAGAGCCCTGGCGGCCCCTGTGGGTCACTGCAGTACATGGTCCACAAACAGGAGCTCCTCCCCACCCTCAGCTCCAAGGCCTGGGGTAGCGACCCCACGTACACACACGCAGACCCGCCCCAAGCCCCAGTGCCAGCCAGCATCCTCTCCCCGCTGTCCCAGGAGCGACACATGCTACCGAGCTGCACAGCGGCATGGAAGCCGGGCCTGGGCAACGAGCCACTGCCCTGTGCTGCCGTAACGTCACCCACAGTTGGTCCTCCACCTTTAATGGCCATAATGGGCCCTTAGGAGTCTCTGAGGGCCAGCCAAGGACCCCAGGCCCCTTCCTGGGCTGGCGCGGGAAGAAGGTAGGGGCATGAGGAAGGCCATGCCTTGACTAGTTGCCCTCCCCTGACCTGGAAGCAGCTCGAACAGAGGCCAAGGGTCCCAAACCCAGCTTGGCCACAGACTGTCCAGGGGCCCAGGAAGGTTGTTACCCAGTCTGAGGCTGACCCTTCCGCTGAAATGTGGACCAAGGATTCCAGAGGTGCCAGGTCCACACGGGACAGTGAGGCTCTCGGGGAGGGGCACTTACGTTCTGCAGGGAGTCCTGGTAGGAAGGGGGCAGGCTGGCGAGCTGGGACTCCGAGTGGTACGGGGAGAAGCCTTTCCGCAGCGTCCGGTACTCTCCAGAGCCTGCCTGCTGCGGAGGAGAGGCGGGGAGAGGTCAGCGGTGAGGGGCCAGGCAGAGGGAGCCAAGGACTGTGCCCATCAGGACCTGGAACGGCTGCCCCCGCCCCCCACACACACGCCGAACGAATGAGACACTCCTACCCAGGCCGAGTTGCTCCCTCCTCATGGCTGTGGAGGGCTCTGGCACCTGCTTGGAGGCCCCGCCTGTGCACCCTGCCTCCCGTCTCCCCTCACCCCGCTGCAGCCCTGAGCCACCCCATCCATGTGGGAGCACGAGCTTTCCTTTTGCTCCCCACTCTGTGTTTCACTCATGTCGGTTGAAGAGCTGACTAAACAGGTGAGTGAATGAGGGGGGGCTCTCCTGCCCTTGACCTTCGTGCCTCTGCGCTAGCATCCCCCACTTGGATTCCCCACACCCCCTCTGCAGCCCCTGGGGCCATATCCACAGGAGAGTCCCCCCACCTCCCATAGGTGCTCTGCTCAGTGCCCATTAGCCTCCACCGTCAGACAGGAGCGCCGACATGTGGGCCCTGGGTCTCACCCCTGTCCCCTCAGGAACCGTGCAAGCTGGGCTCATAGCTAATGCCCAGTGGTACTCTGCAGGGAGGGAGGGAGGGAGGGAGGGGGAGGGAGGAAGGAAGAG